TCGTGATCCACCCGCCTCGGCCTCCCAAAGTGCTGGGATTACAGGCTTGAGCCACCGCGCCCGGCCTCGTTTCTGGTTTAAATCCATATAAATGTTCTCATGTACAATGATTTTTCACCAACCAAGGACTTCATAATAGATGAACAACTTTTCAATACACTATTTCTGTCTTACTATTTTTTTTTCAAGTGGACGGGGGGAGAAAACCAATACTGTGGTACAAAAGACCTTTTTACAAGGTCCTCTCTGAAGAAATGTTGAGAATACAGTTATAGTCCTATAATGAGACTATAATCAAGATCATCCTACAAGGATATGAGGGTAGACTCACTCTTCTGGAGTTTCTGACATTACTATGACTATTATATTTGACTGGTTTAAAAACAAAGAATATTAAAATGAATAGAGGGGCGAGATTCTAACAGAAGACTTTCCTAGCAGGTTATTTTGAATGTATTTCACTCCTATAATGACTATAATGAAAATGACATGATAGTTCATTCTGCTGAAGAAGATTGCATCTAGAAAAACACTCATGATAATATAATTAAATGCTGTTTTTCATGTGTTTTGTGAAAATATAGAGGACATGAAAGCAGAAAACTGCAGCACTATGACAAAGAGTAAGGAAACACTCTTGAAGAATAAACACAACACATAAAATTTTTAAATGGTATCTAATAAATTTTCATGTCAAATCTTTTAACTAAACATATAAAAATTTTAAATGGCAAATAATAAATCTTCACGTGAAATCTTTTAACAAAATCCACAAATAGATTATAAAAATTGAACAATCATAAATGTCTTATGTATAAAGTTTTAAGGGAAGGTTTAAATTTCGACATTATTCTGTTTAATCAAATGCTTGAGAAATTTTAGTTACTGCTGAGGAGCAGTCAATTGATACATTTCTAAAATAATTCAGTTATGAAAATAATATAACAATTAAGATTTGGCATAGTAGCATTTCATCAATCTTCAGTCATCCACAAATGTTAATCGTCCAGGCCCTTCATTCTTCATCCATCTCCTGTATCTCTTCCATCTGGGGTCATTTGCCAACTTTTTCTTTAATTCTTCCTCTTGTTCTTGCTTATAAACCTGTAAGTATAAATAACTAGATGACTTCACAATCCAAAGAGAAACACTTGCCATTAGTTTTATGGCATATTTACATTTTTCATTTAGATAAAAAGTTTCCAGTGAATATATTGGTACATCTTCTGAAAACCATTCACTTGAAAATACTAAGCAATTAAGCATTTTATCTAATGTATTTATTTGCAATTAACCATTTTAACTTTCAGTGTTAAACATGAAAAAACAACCTGTATAAGAACTAGTAATTTTGTGGCTAGGCATGGTGGCTCACAGCTGTAATCCCAGCACTTTGGGAGGCCGAGGCGGGTGGATCACCTGAGATCAAGAGTTCGAGACCAGCCTGGCCAACATGGTGAAACCCCATCTCCAATAAAAATACAGGCTATATGCCTGTAATCCCAGCTACTTGGGAGGCTGAAGCAGGAGAACTGCTTGAACCTGGGAGGCAGAGGTTGCAGTGAGCTGAGATCACGCCATTTGTACTCTAGCCTGGGCACCAAGAGTAAAATTCTATCTCAAAAAAAACCCAGTAATTTTTGTGTGTGTGTGACAGGGTCTCTCTTGGTTGCTCAGGCTGGAGTGCAATGGCACGATCTCAGTTCACTGCAACCTCTGCCTCCTGTGTTGAAGTGATTCTCCTGTCTCAGTCTTCCCAGCTGAGACTACAGGAGCATGTCACCATGCCTGGCTAAATTTTTTTTTTTTTCTTTTAAGGAGAGATGGAGTTTTACCATGTTGGCCAGCCTGGTCTCGAATCCTGGCCTCAAGTGATCCACCCACCTTGGCCTCCCAAAGTGCTGGGATTACAGGCAAGAGCCACCATGTCCAGCCTAGAACTAGTAATTTTTTGTCACTGATTTCTGTAACCTAGGAATACATTCTTTCCTCAATGAAAACTGGCTGAATTTAAAGGGCTTAACATTTCCTCTCTACAACTAATGTCTAATATTAAAGAATAAAAACTATTTTTAATAGGGTCTTTTGTAAATTTAACTGATGACTTTCAGATTTGTTGAACTTAACCAAGGAACAAAATGACCTTACATACATGTTTATCTCCAAACTGAATTTACATCTACTTTCATCTGCAAGGATAATTATGAGTCTTTCATTTTTTTAAAAGTTTCCAAAGGTTAAATAAACCACAGAGTTAAAATTTGTGAGAACACAGAACAGCTGCATTTCTGTAGCTTGTATTTTTTTTTTTTTTGAGATGGGGTCTCGCTTTGTCACTTAGCCTGGTGTACAGTGGCATAATCTTGGCTCACTGCAACCTCCTGAGTAGCTGGGACCACGGGCGCCACCACGCCCAGTTAATTTTTTTGTATTTCTCTCTTTCATTTTTTCTTTTAGTCTCTGTGGCTAGGTTTACAGGATTGGAAGGAAACTTGAGGCGGGCCAAATTTTAGTTAGTACAATTACCCAAAAGTTGTCATAACACCCTTGCACACATGCGTATCATTCCAAGGCGGTTTAACATTCTTAAAACTTTTTCAGAATTAATCAATTAACGTATTTGAAGTTCATCCTCTAAAAAGAGAAATTACAGGTTAAAAACCCACCGTCCCACTACCAAATATAGTCCTACTTTCAATAAAAGTAAGATCTTTACTCATTGTTTAACTCTTGGGTTTCAGAAATTTGAGTATATTTTTGTGATCCCTCATTATAATACACCTGATTTTAACTTGGTCAGATGGATGACACTAAAATCACAGCAGGGTGACTACTCACCTCATAATTCTCCTTTATCCAGAGCTCTCGTTTAAGAAAAGTTTCTTTCTGATGATCTTCTAGACTATCAAATTGAGACTTTGACATCTTCATAGATTTACGTATAATGTACAATCTCTCTTCCTCTCCATATTCTTTGCCTTTGATGTTAAAATTATAGATCCACCGGCAATACCAAACTATATATGAGCACAGGTGAAAAGGAGCTAAGATAATTTGAAACAGGAGAAGATCACAGATCTGGGGTTTCTGATAGCCCCCCTTTATATCTATTTTACTTTTTATAATGTTCTTGATGATGTTCTCCTCCTCATCACGAATTTCCTCTTTGGACTTTTTGTTTTTGCCTTTTTCTTTGGCTTTTTTGAGCAGTCCCTGCTGCTTGGCAATCTCTGTAGCTTGGATACGGTACTTGGGCACCGTGGCTAGGTAGCTGATTGCCTTATTGTAGCTATTCCACCAGCTGAAAAACTAGAATAGTTAACAGATAACAATGAGTCATTTTCATTACCTAAATTCGTCTAAATTAAAGCAATGATAGAGTCTTGGTGAACACCATCTCTGAAGAAACCATTACAATTAAAAATAGGGATCTCGAAGATCTTACTTTGTAAGTAAAAGATAAAACTGAACAAAGCCCATGTGTACATAGGATCTCACGGCTGGATAAGTGAGGTAAACTTTGAGCTGAGCCAAAAATCACTGATTCAGTCAGGAGATACCCAAGATCAAAAGATGATCAATGTATCATACAACACCTGTGGTTTCATAGCTTTACCATTTGGCTCTTACCTAGATCACTATCAGGAAACTTTTTTTTTTTTTAAAAAAAAGCAGCAACATACTTACTAGAGAAAGAGTTAAATAGCAAAATCCAGCTGCCAGCTGGTGAGAAATTTGTTTTAAAAATTCATAGGGTATAGACTCGGCAACTCTATTCATTCCCATCTCTTTTCCTAAACCATCTGCATCTATCACAATGGCACTCATCCTATTCTGATGAGAGACTCAAATATGGTTGAGCTCTGCCTATTTGGACAAGAAGACACTAACCTACTTCATAAATGTATTCAACCACAAAGGGTTTGTTGGAAAATGCCCTGCTCCTGACATAGTACCTCCAAAAATTTCAGCTCCTGTTTAACTGAATGAATATAGCAGATATACAAATATCCTACAATAGTAGCAATCTATTAGAACATTTTTAAGTGACTACAGTATTACATTGTTTAAAACAAAAAAGTAAAATTATCCCTACTCTCCCCTTTAAAAGGGCAAAAATTTCTACAAATGCTGACATATTTTAAATATACCACCTTAGTTTCCAATAAATATTTTTTGTCATAAAAATTGAATGTTGGCCAAGTGTAGGGGCTCATGCTTGTAATCTCAGCACTTCGAGAGGCTGAGGTGAGTGGACTGCTTGAGCCCAGGAGTTTGAGATCAGCCTGGGTAACATGGCAAAACTGTGTCTCTACCAAAAAAAAGACAAAAATTAACCAGGTTAGGTGGGAGGACTACCTAAGCCCAGGAAGTCAAGGCTGCAGTGAGCCATGATCACTCCACTGTACTCCAGTCTGGGCGACAGAGTGAGAACCTGTCTAAAAAAAAAGAAAAGGAAAGAAAAACCAATGAATGTCAAATGTCATTACTGGGAATGAAACTGGAGAAGTAATTTTCAAACAAGCAAATTGCTTCATTCTAGTCATTTCACTCGTTCATTTCCTCTAAAGGAGCATATGATAGATGTGGCTAGTTTAATAACAAGGAAAATTATTTCAGGCAGAGGTTAAATTTTTGTGATACTTTACAACATAAAAAGTTCCTATGCCTCTTTTAATCTATTTCAGTGGTTTTCAACCTGAGCAGAAACACCCTTAAAGAGGCACACAGAAATGCGTGGGACATTTTTGGTTGCTACAACAATGATGGCAAGCACTACTGTCATCGGGTGACCAGAGCCAGGACTTGTTAGTCCAGAGTAAGGAATTCAGATTTCTCCCAAGTTTAATGGGAAATCACTGAAAAGTCCTACAAAGGTAAATGATAGGAATTAGCTGACGTTCACTCTGGCTATTATGTAGAAAATACTCTAGAGGGAGCAATGAAAAAGGGGTTGCTTTGTAGTAATAATGACACTTTTTTTTTTTTTTTTTGGAGACGGAGTTTCGCTCGTTACCCAGGCTGGAGTGCAATGGCGCGATCTCGGCTCACCGCAACCTCCGCCGCCTCCTGGGTTCAAGCAATTTTCCTGTCTCAGCCTCCTGAGTAGCTGGGA